GTTTGAGGACCAGACCTTTGGGGTTCAAGTCTCTGCTCTACAACTTACAGACCATGTGACTGTGGATGAGTTACATCCTCCCTGTTTCCACAGTTTTCCCAGCCTCTACCTTGAGGGGGCTGAGTGTCACTGAGTGCAGAGCGTTCAGTCCTGTGGCTAGGTGCACTGTGTACCAGGGAGTGTGTTTGTAAACTGGGTGCCTGACTGCATGAAGGATGGTGTTCCAGACAGAGCCCAGGCGTGTGAAGATGGAGACTCAGAACCAGGTGTCCTTCCCAGGCTCTGAGGAGTTCAGGTTTGTGACTCTTGATAGCAGGGGCTATTAGGTAATTTTTCAGTGGAGAAGAATGCTGGTTAGATTTTCATCAAAGGAGAAGAGCTTAGAGGTGGTAACCCAGGCCTAGGCCAGTGATAGCACCTGATCCAGAGCTGGCCCAGTGAGATGAAAGACCTGGCAGCTGGGGTTTGTGCAAGTGGGCAGGGGCTAGCTGATATGGCTGCACATAGCTCCACTGAGCACCCTCGGAATGACTCAGAGCAGCAGGAGGGCCATAAGGGCAGCTTGGGATTCTGGTTTACTGCTGAAGATGAGCAGGTGGGAGGTCAGGCACCTAGCAACCGCCTGGATCATGACCAAGTGCATGACCTTTGGTCACAGCTCAGTCCTTTTTGGCCCCGGTTGCAGTGAGACCTCACTGTTGCTCGTGCTCATCATAGCCTTTGCCTGATGTCAGACAGTTGACTGATTGAGAAGCTTCCCTGCTGTGAGACGGACAGACCCAACCTGATCTGACACATACAGATGTGAACTTGGGGGTTTTGACCTTCACCCATGTCTGAGTTAGGAGGTGGGGCCAGCAGGCCTGGGCCACTGTCCAGATCAAGTCTTTCTAAAGGGAGGGAGTCTTGTCTTTGTGCCAGGCAGAGACCTGGAGCCCTCTGGGCAGAGCATATCTGCACCAGGCCCAACACAGGACAAGCTGCTTAACAGATGTGTGCCTGGTAACATCCAGCCACAGGACTGCCATCCCTAAGCATTAGTCCCTAATGACAACAGAGGCCTGCAGCCTCAGCCCCTCAGGAAGAAGTCAATTATCTTCTGGGCAACTAGTAACCATAGTCAGGGTTTTAGTCACTTTCTTAAAATAGCAAGCTGAGTTACTTTCATGCTTAAAAAACATGACAATGTCCTCAGATTCCTGTGGGTTTAAAATTCTGCCCTTGCAGGGCACATCTTCCCAAGAAAAATCAGAAGGGAATCTAAATCCTCAGTGCCAACCCTTCCAGTACCCAAGGGCCCTGAAATGAGGGGGTGGTGGTCTGTGGGATGCCACCTAGCCCTCCCCTCAGCCAGCTTCCATTCAAACCACTCAGATGGGTCTTGTCCCACCTTTGCTACCACCTCCTTTTTCACTCCCCCTTCCTGTGTAAGCTATACTCTCCCTCCCCACTGTCTATCCCCCAAATCTCCATCTTTCTTTAATATTTATTATTTTCATTTTTTTGTGTATGAGTGTATTGCCTGCATGAATGTAAGTGTACCCATGTCATGCAGTGCCCACGGAGATCAGAAGAGGACTTTGGATCCCCTGGAACTGGAGTTACGGATGGTTGTTAGCTGCCATGTGGGTGCTGAGAGTTGAACCTGGGTCCTTTGCGAGAGCAGCTGGTGTTCTTAACCACTGAGACATCTCTCCAGCTCCCAAATCTTTGGGTGAGACCCTCAACCACACAGTTCAGACTTGCCTTCTGTACCCACCTCATTCCCACATGTGACTTCCCAGCTTCCCCCTCCCAGTGATCTTTCCACATGACTATAGTCTTCCAGAACTCCAACCCTCTCCCCAAGAAGAGCAGTGTTTGTTGCTACCAGGGTGTGCTGGTGATGGTTAGCAGCTCCAACAAGAGGACTCCTGAGAGGCCTGCAGGGGGTCATAGCACACAACCCCAGGAAGGTCAGAAAGGGATGCTTAGCAATGCCCCAACCCCACTGAAAGCCCAAAGCAAGGCAGATGTGAGGAGTTTGCCATGCAGGGAGCAGGAGCAGCCATCCCTCACCACTGGGTGGGTGGGTGGGTGGGTGGGTGGCTGTTCTTAAAGGGTTTTTTTTGGCGGGGATTGGGGATGCTGGCTGTTGTTTTGTTTTGTTTTGCTTTGTTTCATTTTGTTTCTGAAATAACACCTCACTCTGTAGCCCTGGCTGGCCTGGAACTGTGAAGACTAGGCTGGCCTACAGACACCTGCTTGCCTCTCCCCCTGAGATTACAGGCGCGTGCTATCACACCTGGCCTGGGTGGCTCTTTGAAGATTCTGACCACTCTGTCTAGGTTTCCTCATTAATGAGTTGAGCTTTAGTGAAATGAGAGAGGTATTATACGCATTATGAGGTGACAAATCTCATACTTAATGTAACTAGCTAATGATGCTGATCGTTATATAATATATAGCTTGAGAGGGTAAAGTATTACTGAAGGGTTTGCCCTGGAAGGTTGTGGGACACAGGAAGGACGTGGTTGCTCTCAGGTTTCAAGACAGCATGGAGATCAGGTAGGGTGGAGGTAGGGCAGAAGAAAGAAGAGAGATGTAGGCTTGTGTCCTAGTTTGTTCTTCATTGCTGTGACAAAACACTCTGACCACTACCAACTTGGGGAGGAAAGGGTTTATTTAGTTTACATATCCCGGGTCACAGTTCATCCGGGAGCTCAAGGTAAGAACTCAGGGTAAGAACCTGGAGGCAGGAGCAGGAGCACAGGCCATGGAGGAATGCTGCTTACTGGCTTGCTTCCCTGGCCCCTGTTCAGCCTGCTTTCTTATGTGACACAGGCCTACCTTCCCAGGGGTGGCACCATCCACAGTGGGCTGGGCCCTCCCACATTACTCAGCAATCAAGAAGGTGCCCCATGGACATGGCTATAGGCCAGTCCAATGAAGGCAATTCCCCAATTGAGGCTCCCTCTACCCAGGTATGTCAAGCTGACACTAAAGCTATCCAGCACGGCTTGGGAGCTAGAATTGACAGGACACTGGCCCTTAGACACAGGTGTGAGGTCAGGGATGACTTGGCACCCAGTGGCCATCTGGCTGGGTATGGCCTGTGGAGGAGGAACAAGTTCTCATGTCTGAGCAGCCTATGCCCCCGGCACTCTAGCAAGCCATAACCTGCTCAAGGGGACATTTGTCCTCAAGGTGAGGAGTGGAGCACAAAAAGCCACACTCAGTAAACATTTGTGGGAGGAATGGGTCTGTCTTCCAGCCCTTCTAAGGGGACACCCTCCTGGTCTCCTCCCCTGGCCATAAGCCTGTGGCAAAGCAACCGCCCTTCTGCCTCAGCCACCTGGCATATGTCTGGGCCACCCTGTCATCTGCCTGGCTTATAGCCAAAGCCAATTAGAGAGCAGACTGCTCACCTAGCCCAGCAGGGGCATTGCTACAGGGCGGCCCATGCCTGGTGGGAAAAGGGAAGGCCCCACGGAGTCCATGGAGACCACCCTCCTCTCACACCCTTCTGGGTTGAGAGTGTGTTTGGGCCTGTTTTAGACACCATAGGGGAGGACTGTGCCTTTTTTGTCTAGTGGATATCCCAGAGCCTAGAATGGGCCTGGCATACAAATAGCTATGTGATGGTGAACAGTCAGCACTGAAGACAGTCTTCCTTATAAGACAAGTGACACCAATGCCAAACTGGTGGATTACCGCATGTGTGAATACTGCATCAGGAGCCAGGGCCAAAGCAGACAACAAGATAGCTGGGGCAGGGGGAGGGACTTGAGCACTCCCCGCTCAAGACACCAAGGGTCTCACTCTGAACATAAAATGTTAACCTGTCGGGTTTGGGGAACACTTGACTAGCAAGCACAAGGCCCTGGGTTCAGTCCTCAGATCAAAAAAAAATGTTAACCTGTCATACAGTCCACATGTAATAAAAATACATACGTTTGCCACGCCAGTCAGGGCAATCTGCATGACAGAAGGTGGCATAGAATACCAAGTGTCTGTGTACGCTGTGGTCAGACTAGTTCACTGTGTGTGAACAGTAGACGTGGTAATGCATGTGCATGGAGGGTGGCATTTAGTGTTCGAAGAACATTTGTAAAGGTTCTAGCATTATCTGTTCCTGTGTTCATAGTTCACCTAACACCTACTAACACCCACTGATGCCTCTTTTGAGACAAAGTTTCATTATATAACCCAAGCTGACTTTGAACTTGCTGTGTAGCACCAGGCTGGCCTTGAACTCAGTTCTGCCTCTGCCTCCCAAGTGCTGTGATTACAGCTGTGTGCCACCATGCTTACTTGCCTTTGACAAGCCTTGAGAATGTCATAGCTGGTTCCTGGCTTGGAGACCTTACCCTAAGAATCACCCCAACATGAAAATATGGGGTGGTGATTACACAGCGTTGTGACTGTACCAGTTGATTGTATGATTCAACGTAATTTTTTTTTTCTTTTTGTCTTTTTGAGACAGGGTCTCCCTGTAGTCCCAGCTGTCTTGGAACTCACTATGTAGACCAGGCTGGCCTTGAACTCACAGGGATCCACCTGCCTCTGCCTCCTGGGTGCTGGGATTAAAGGTATGCATCACCACGCCTGGCATTCTTTGGAACTTTTTACATTTGAACCATGTGACTGCTTCCAACTCAGAGGGTAACATGAGGGGAAGAGGGGCTACCTACAAAAAGGAAGCAATGCCTGATGTCTGTTCCAGTGTCAAAAACAAGTCCTCAGAGGCCAGGCTTGCTTCAGTTCTTGGCCCCCTTCATCCAGTCAGGGGCCTCAGAACTTCAGTTTCCTCATCTGTCAAAGGACAAGGATACTTCCAGCCTCATGTCGCCACTGCAGTCCAGTGACAAGTGGGCTAGCATAGTGAACTGGGCCCCTCCTGAGTGCCCAGCAGCATCCGTGGTCTTGTGTCTTCCTGCACGTCTTCCCTCCTCAACCTGTAGTCTGAGTCTTCCTGTATGGAACTCCCCACACCTTTGTGACTTATAGTTTCTTCACAGAGAAAGCTACAGATGGCTCCCTGCAGAGCGAGGACTGGGCCCTCAACATGGAGATCTGTGACATCATCAACGAGACAGAGGAAGGGTAAGAGCTTTCTGAGGAAGGGGTGCAAGGTGGGATGACCAACTACAACACAGCACACACCAACACCAGTTTACACCTGTGTCCCAACAGAGGACACCCGTAGCCCACCACTGCTGAAGCCACAAAGGCAGACCTCTATGGCCCTCAGTGCACAGTCCTAACCCCTTCCTAGACAGGAATGAGGCAGTTCAAAGTAGCCCCTGGGTGCTGTGATCTACACAGCCTCCCTGGGACACAGCCAGCTGGAGACTCACAATGGGGAGGTGGCATATTCCAGTCCTCAGGGTAAATCACAGTGCCCCCTCACTCATGTGGCATGCTCCTCCCAGCCAGAAGATATATTGGTGTGGAAGGGCCGGAGGCAGGGAGATTGTGGGGTTTGTGGGTGTCTGTAGTTGTCAGGGAAGGGCAGTGGCTTCCAGAGTTCTGTGCTGTGTGGCTCACGCCCACACCTGCATTTGGATTCATTAGTGAGGGCAGATGGCAGGACCACCCGGAGAGAAGCCAGGAGGCAGAAAAGTCCACAGAGCCCCCGGACAGGCCTGGGAACTCTGTGACTGTATGCTGTAAGCCACTGCAGGATCCTTGGAGACAGGGTGTCCCTGTCTCCCTGGTGAATTTGGGAGGCTCTAGGTTCAAAGTCTATCAGCTCTATCACTCACTGTTCATCTGAGCATCTCCAATGTTCCAGGCACTATACAAGGTATCAAGCCAGCAGTGAGGCATGACCCTTGACCCCATCAATTTTCTCTCCCTTTTGTATCTTTAGTAGGGTCATACTGTCACCATGTATTTTCTAGATGCCTTTGTTCAGGCCTCCTTTTCACATGCATTGCTCCTAGTGGAGCCCACAGTCCACTCAGTGTCCCCTTTTCTACAGGATACCCCATAAAAAACAAATGTTAACAAGTCCCTATCAAGCACTAAAGTGGTCTGTTGGTCAGTGGTTGTGTCAGTCAGCTTTCCATAACTATAACAAAATTTCCTGAGATGATTAGTTTGTAAAGAGAAAATGTTTGCCTCATGGCCAGAGAACAAAAGAAGAGGGACAGGGTTCCACAGCCCTTCAAGACACACCCCTAACGACCCAAAGACCTACAAGCACGTTCACTTTTTTTTCCCATTTATCTGCAATGCTTGAGATTGAACTTATTGCCTTGCACGTGCTAGGCAAATGGTGTACACTTGAGCTGCACCCTGAGTCTAGGCCCCGCCTTCTGAAGTTTCTGTAGCATCTCAACAGTGCCACTCTGAGGACCAAGGCTTTTTTAAATGCACGTGCCTTTGGGGGACATTCAAGATCCAAACAGCATAGCAGTGGTGACATCAGCAGTTCAAGCCAGCTGCCCCTAGAACTAACCCAGAAAGGCAAGGAGCTGTCTGGGGTGCTCTAAGTGGAAGCTGCCCGCACCCTTCTAGGCAGGCTTCTATGTCAGCGCTGGCCTCTTTTCTGCAACCTGACCACCTGCACAGCTCTGCCTCAGTGCAGGATCAGTCCTGGAGGCCTTCCCTGTCTGCCTTCACCCCTGATGAGGACCTTGATAGGTTCCACGCTTTTGCAGTGTGGCCCTTAAGGGTCAGCACTGACAAACAGAGTCAAGATGGGCCTCAAAGGCCCCTTGCCACACTGGGCAGTGTCTTTTTTTTTTTTTTTTTGGTCTTTTTGAGACAGGGTCTTCTTGTAGCCCCAGCTGTCCTGGAACTCACTATGAGGATCCGGCTGGCCTCAAACTCACAAAGATCTGCCTGCCTCTGCCTCCCAAATGCTGGGATTAAAGGCATGAGCCACCACGCCTGGCCCTGGCAGAGTCTTTTAGGCTTTTGCAGGATCCCTCCAGGATCCATCTTCCGTGCCTAGGGCACTTGGGTTAGTGTCCCCTAATGGGAGGATGAGGATGAAGTCCCAAGGAAGTTTCACTGGGCCGTCCCATGAGGCGTTTACAGGATTTGGGCAGGGCCCAGCAAAGGCCTTCAGCCCACAAGCATTTCTAGTAACCCTGGGGTACAGGATAGGCTGGAGGTGGGGGTAAGTCAACTGGTAGAACAAGAAGAACAGGAAGCCCCCAGGCTTTCTGTGTTTTCCTATTGTACTTATGTGTGTCCACACTCCCTCAGTCATCCCCAAGTCTCTTGGCTCTCTACCTCCACCAAATTGGTGGACCACCTCTCAGTCCCTTCAAGGCATGAGACTTCTCCCCACCAAGATCTTGGCCCAGGCTCTCTCTCTACCTGTTCCCTTACCCTTCCTTCCCACTCCTCAGGGCTTTGCTATATTCCTTGGAGGCCTCTTGGGCCCCACCTTCACTCTTCCTCAAGTCCTGCTTCTTCCTTTCAGTTATTGGGTCTCCCTGGAATCCCAGAATATAGGCTCTTCGGAAACAGTATGTGTAGCACACCCACACAGGGGTCCTCGGTTAGACTTGAATGGAAGGGTAGATGGAAGGTGGAGCTGCCAACCTGCAGAATTGGAACACTGCCTGAAGCTCATTTGTTCTTAGCATTAGCACCCAGAAGCCCCTGGGAGATGGGGGGGGCATGAGAAATTAACAAACCCTAGGATGGTCTCCCTCCCTGAGAATGTAGTTCAGGTACTCTCAGGTGAGGCCTGGACTCTGTTTGTTTTGTTTTGTTTTGTTACTGTTGTTGTTGGCTATGTACCCTCAGCTGGCCTGGAACTTGCTATGTAGACCAAGTTGAAGTGAAGTGCTGGAATTAAAGGTATGAGCCACCACACCCAGCTGGGGTTCTGAGTTTTTTGTTTTTTGTTTTGGTTTTTTTTTGTGGTCTTTTTGAAACAGGGTCTCCCTGTAGCCCCAGCTGGCCTGGAACTCACCATGTAGACCAGGCTGGCCTTGAACTCATAGAGATCTGCATGCTTCTGCCTCCCAAGTGCTGGGACTACAAGTGTGGGCCAGCATGCCCAGCGGGGTTCTTTATTTTTAACAAGTAATCACATATCCCTCAAAGTGAGTCTGCACAGGAGACTCAGGATCTACATGGTACTTACTCTGTCATGCTCTCCTGAGAAGACTGTGATGGGGCAGCAAGACCCTGATGTGATCGAACTTGGCACATGGGTGAGGCAGGGAGGAAAGGCAGGTCCCAGCTTTCCAGGCTCGTGTGGATGAAGGAGGTTCCATGCCTAAGCCCATCTTTCCTTTTGTACTGTTCAGCCCCAAAGATGCTGTCCGTGCAGTCAAGAAGAGAATCGTGGGGAATAAGAACTTCCACGAAGTCATGCTAGCTCTCACTGTGAGTGTCCTGTCTGTCCATCTGTTTTTGTCCCTCCATGGTCAGTCCCATGGCTGGCCAATCATCTACTGAAAGCTGCCTTTCCCATTCACCTGTGAGTTGCTCATCCAAGGACTAGGAGGGAAAGGACCATGGGCAGATTGTTTTCCTGTCTACACTGCTGGTAGAGGTGGATAGCAATCGAGGAAGGCTGGAAAGTTCCTCCCAGCCCCTCACATGGAGCATGGACATGCTGGGGCCACTTCCAGAACTACTGACAGGGAGAGTCAGGGTCACAGGACCTGTCAGTAGAGAAAAGCTTAGTAAACCCAGGCCTGGGGGCAAGGGAGGTACTACCTGGCACTCCAGCACCCTGAAAGATAAGCATAAAACAAATGCCAGTTTCTAAGAACAGTATTGGCCAGGCATGGTAAGCATCTTGGCTTCAAGATGATCTGGCTGGGGTGTGGGCAGGAAAGCACCCTTTCCCAGCCTCTCTCAGTGGCACTTAGATCCAGATGTTCTGCTTACCTGCAAAGCAAGGGCGGCTCCTGGGTTGTGAGGAGGGAAAGTCAGTGCTTCGTCCTTGGGTCACCAATAAAGGAAGCTCAGGTTGTCTGAGTTTTTCTTTTAATTTATTTTATTACTTTTAATTATGTCTATGTATGTGTCTTTTTATGTATATGTGCACGTGAACTTCGTCCTTGGGTCACCAATAAAGGAAGCTCAGGTTGTCTGAGTTTTTCTTTAATTTATTTTATTACTTTTAATCATGTCTATGTATGTGTCTTTTTATGTATATGTGCACGTGAAGGTACCCATGGGGGCACTGGATCCGCTGGAGCTGGTGTTATAGGCAGTAATGAGCCTCCTGATGTGGGTGCTGGGAACTGAACTCAGGAACTCTGGAAGAGCAGTAGATGTCCTTAACCACTGAGCCGTCTTTCCAGCATCCCTCAAGTTGTCTTTGGTTCCTCTTAGAGAGCCTTCAGGCCTCTAGACCATGTCTGCTGGGAAGTAGATCAGGTTGCAGTGGGCTCTGACCTACTGGAAAGGAATCCTGTCTATCACAGCCTTTTGCATGTTCCCCAGTAAGTGAGCCCCCAAATCTGGCACTGTTCCCATCCCTGTGATCCAGGGCCTCCTTCTGGAGGCCCCCTCTCCTCTGCTCAGCCTCCCTCTGGTGTATAAGAGGAGCCTTGCTGAGGTGGCTGGACACGTCTCCTCCTCTGACAAGGCACACTCTTGGGTACCTCTTGGCCTACAGGTCTTGGAAACGTGTGTTAAGAACTGTGGGCACCGCTTCCATGTGCTGGTAGCCAGCCAGGACTTTGTGGAGAGTGTGCTAGTGAGGACCATCCTGCCTAAGAACAACCCACCTACCATCGTGCATGACAAGGTGCTGAACCTCATCCAGGTGCGCTCTGTGGTAGGATGGGGTGGCATGGTGGCAGGATGGGGTGGCATGGTGGCTACAGGGTAGGGGGCCTCTTCCTCAACTGTCTGCTGATTGACTGCTCATGCGTATAGCAAGGTGTATCACTGTGTACTGAGCCCAGTTCACATAGTAAGAGAACTGGGAAGAGGAGGGGAAACATTTCCATCCTCCCTCTGGGTTCCAGGGTGGGGCAGGCCACAGGGAAAAGGTGAGCAGTGGTTACCACCCATGTCCTCCTGTCCCTTCTCAGTCCTGGGCTGACGCGTTCCGAAGCTCGCCTGATTTGACAGGTGTTGTTGCGGTGTACGAGGACCTGCGGAGGAAGGGCCTGGAGTTCCCCATGACTGACCTGGACATGCTGTCACCCATCCACACGCCCCAGAGGGTGAGAACCATGGGAGGTCAGAAGTTATTGTGAGGGCCTGTAGTGCCTGTCCAGGAGTTCCTGCTTACCATGTCTTTTGCCTCCTAGACTGTGTTCAATTCAGAGACACCATCAGGACAGAACTCTGTGGGCACTGACGTCAGTCAGCGAGGAGACGTGAGCCAGCATGCCACCCATGCCACCCCTCTGCCAACTCCAGCTGCTCTTCCTGGTGATTCACCCATTATGCCAACCCCTGAGCAGGTAAACAGATAAGTCTGTGGCTGAACCATCTGGTCAAGGCAGGTGTCAGAGACGGCCCCTGTCACTATGGAAATTATCCATCCTCCCAGCAGCTCACAGATATATTATTCTTCTTGTCTTCAAGATAAGGCTCAGACAGGTAAATGCACTCACCCAGAGTCACATAGCACGTCAGTTAGCTGGAATTCAAGCTCAAGTCTGTCTGACTCCTGACAGGTGCAGTCCAATACCTCAGCCATTTCCAAACTCTTCTTCCACGGAGCCCTGTGTGCAGCACCACAGAGAGGAGATGGGGAGCAGGTGATCCTTCAGCCACAGCCACTCAGACACTCTATTTGTATGCTAATGAGTTCACACAGAATTTCATCTAGGTTCTGACTGAAAACAGTCTTAAAAGATCTGCACATGGGGCTGGAGAGATGGCTCAGCTGTTAAGAACACTGACTGTTCTTGCAGTAAGACCCAGATTCGAATCCCAGCACCCACATGGCAGCTAACAACTGTAACTCCAGTTCCAGGGGATCCGATGGCCTCTTCTGTCGTCGCGGGCATTGTACAACATGGGTGCACTTACCTACATGCAGGCAATACGTGAATGCACATAAAATAAAAATAATAAATTATTTTTTAAAAAAAGATCTGCACAAAGCCTGGATGTGGTATCTCACGCCTTTAATGCCAGCACTTGGGAGGCAGGTGGATCTCTGAGTTTTAGGCCAACCTGATCTATAAACTGAGTCCCAGGCCAGCCAGGAACTGCATAGTGAGACCCTGTCTCAAAAAAAAATTTTAATTTAAAAAAAAAAAGAAAAAGATCTACACAAACTGTGCATTTGCGTGTACCCTGAGGCTTCCCACAATCTCACAAAGAAGCTTTGAGGCCCAGCATGAGAGTCTAGGGACAGTTCACCCAGCCTGTGGCTAGCTCTGAAGGATTACCCACCTCAGATCAGGTGGCTGTTCCCTAGGTGCTTGGGTCATTTGAGACGCTCTAGGCTGGGCCCAGCCTGCACAATGGGGCCCACTCTTGAGGCACTCAGAGACTCCAGACCGTCAGTTGCTGAAAGTTCTGGAGAAACATGATGCAGTTGCTAGAAGCTTCTCTCTGAAGAACTACCACCCTGACCACTTGTGTGCTGCGATCTTAATCACACTGTGCTCAGAAACTTCCGTAATGTGCTATCTCATAGCAGGTTATGAAATCACACACCATACTTGCAAATCTTACTAGAGAAGATTTGCACACTGAACAGAGTCATTGAAGGTACCTAAAATTGTACAGTTACCCTGTGATCTGAAGCAATTATCTACCCTGTTGTGATTTTAACTAGTTTTCCTAAAGTCTGTGAATTAAGACTGATTACATCTAGTGCTAGAAAGTTCTTGCTAAACAAACCTGAGTATTTTTGTTTAGTTTCATAGTCCCTTTTGTCTCCTGAGGCATAAGGTGTCAGTGTGGTGATGTAACTCCCAGGCTCCTTTGTGGCTGGGTCCCTTCAGGTCTGGACATGGCAGCTTGGTGATGAGCAAGCAGCTTGCCCATGCACACCAAGAGTTCCCTGAACAAGCCAGGTGTGCCAAACACTGTATGGGTCGTGGTATTGGTGAACCATAGTGGACACAGCTCTTGTCTCTGCATGCCCATCTTTTCATCTATGCAAGCTGGATAAGGGAGGATGAACTCTTCCTGTGGCAGTGCATGTTCAGTGTCTGATACACTTTTTTAACATTTTATTTATTATTTTTATTTTTTGTATATGAGTGTATTGCCTGCATGTGTGTAAGCCTACCCATGTCGTGCAGTGCCCGCGGAGGTCAGAAGAGGGTGTCAGATCCCCTGGAACTGAAGCTTCAGATGGTTGTTAAGCCACCATGTGGGTTCTAGGACTCAAACCCTGGTCCTCTGCAAGAGCAGTCACTGAACCATCTCTCCAGCCCCATCTGACACTTACTAGTTAAAAATAGTAGCTGTTATCACAATCACAAATTTACATAGTGGCATTTCAATTCTGAAATAGTTGTAACTTGGTCACATAATTTAGAATATACCAGTATTTCCCAAAATATCCATTAGGTGCTAGAGCCCTGAACTAGCTCATGAGAAAAGATCTTCACTCAGATACATTTGGGGCACCTTCATGTGAATCTCAGCACTCACAGTGGACACATGAGGGTATTAAGTCCCTAAGGGGGGGGGGCACCACAAAAGACATTATGCTAGTGACCCTCACAGCCTCACCAATTTGAGAACACTGAGCACCTGTATTGGTAATATGTCCCTAAGCCTGGAACTTTGGCTCCCTTTGATCATTGGAACAAGTTCTGACTCTGAATTTCATGCTCAAGTTGGTAGCAGGCCTGGCACTCATTCATAGATGAGCCTGGGGCTCTAAAGTAGACCAGAAGCAAGACAGAATCCCAATCCTCCTAAGGGAGACACACACACACACACACACACACACACACACACACACACGATGCATCCTGTCCTCCCAGGCATACAGGGACTGCAACCTCCCATCTCCCTTGGGGGAACTGCCATCCCCAAGGGCCTCGTTAGCTGCCACCTTGGCCCCAGAGATGTGGCATTCTTCCAGCCACACTCACTTGCTTATTCCCCTTAGTTTGTCACACTCCTTTGGGCCTCTCCCTATACCCAGCTCCTGATTTGGAGATGGCAACGGTTGGTAGTGTCTCTGTAGGGGAGCCTGTGTGGTGGGGTGGACCCTCTGAAGGACTCTTGAGTGCAGACCATATCCGGGAGTCAGGAGGGAGGGCATGTGGTGAAGGTGCTGGTAGGATACTCCTCAGGACCACACCAGACTATGGGCCAGGCTCCGCCCCTGGAAGCAGCATGGGCTCCAGACCCTGGCTTCTCTCCCTCACTATGATGCCTTTCAGATCGGGAAGCTGCGCAGTGAGCTGGAGATGGTGAATGGGAATGTGCGGGTGATGTCAGAGATGCTGACAGAGCTGGTGCCCACCCAAGTGGAGCCCGCAGACCTAGAGCTGCTGCAGGTAAGCAGGTTCAGCCTGAACCCAGGTGACTGCATGTGCTCAGCACACCCATTTCTTCCCTGCCCATACTACAGTCTTTAGGTTTTGCTGGGAGTTTTGAGACAGTGGGAAACATTACAACTGGGGGCCTTGAATTGCATCAGACTGGAATTCGGATCTCAGCTCTATTGCTTTCTGACTCAAACAAAATAGCACTCCCCCCTCAACCCCCCCACCTCATTTTCTTCATCTATATGACTTCTTTAATATAAGTGGGACATGAAATAGTACACACGAAGCATTCAGTCCTACACCTCATATTGGCATTAATGAGGATGAATAGTACTGGGAGAAGCTGGAAGGGGTGATTTCCACCCTTCACAATATGCCAGGGAGCAAGCAGGAGGGACAGAGTAGTGTGGACTTTAAGAGATGTGAGTGTCTGGTCCTGGGGAGCTGAGGCAGGTAGGAGCTACTGGGTTTTGCTCCTGTTGTCATATAATATTTCCCTGATCCTGTCCTCCATCTGGGGAGGGCCTCTGGAATGAAGGGGATAGGAATCCTCCCTGTGGAGATCATTCACAGAGGCACTGAGAAAGTTGGAGACTGCCCAAGCCCTGGAGTCTCCAGAATGCATGGAAGGGCAGAGTACTTACTGTGCTCTGATTGTCACTCTCCACCAGCCATTGGAGGCCTAGAGAGCATGTCTCTGTGTCCCTGTGACTACTTGGGAATCCTTATACTTAGGGGTGGGAGTAAAGTAGGAGTTTCTTGGCTGACTGGATCATGAGTGTGAAGACTAGATGAGGAAGGGGAAATGAGGGCTGCTGTCATGCAGTTAGCTTCATATGTTCCAAGCGAAGGCCGTGTGGGTATGAGCAACCTGGGGGCTCAGAAGGCTAGAGCCAGCTGGCAAGGTAACACAGAGACAGCTCTCACATAATGGGTACCTCCCATGTGTCAGGCTTTATGTAGGCACTTGATATATGTTCATTCATAACTCTGACCATGCCCTGAGGCATGGGAGGCCATGTAACATAACTAAGGTCATGTGGTTGGTGGGCAGAGAGCTGGGATTTGTGTCCAGGGGCCCTAGCTTCAAGCTCTGCTCTTTTGTTCTCCAGAGGGGCCAGTAGGGAAATGAAAACTAAGCTGCAAGTGTGCTTGATCACTGGAGGAAGAGAGGGGAAGCTGGGGATGTTGAAAGTCACCCTACACTCCCCCTCCCTTGTGCTAATAGCAGATGAAGAAACCCCAGAAGGCCTGACCCAGGAGGGTGGGGAGCAAGGTCTATAGGAAGCCAAAGCAACATGGCACACAGCCTGGTCCTGATGAGCCCTGCAGGAGAAAAGCATGCGGGTATGTGGCCACTGTGAGCTGCCTGTACCTCAAGTCCAAGACAGCAGGCAGCAGGTGCTGGAGGAAGAAATTACCAGTCTTACAATTGCCTGTAATTAATTAATCTAGCTATCTTTTTTTTTTTTTTTTTTTTTTTGAGACAGGGTCTCCCTGTAGCCTCAGCTGTTCTCGAACTCACTATGTAGATCAGGCTGGCCTCGAAATGACAGAGATCCGTATCTGCTTCTGTTCAGTGCTGGGACTAAGGCATGCGCCACCACGCCCATTTGCTATCTTTCTTTTTTGAGACAAGGTCTCACTGTGCAGCTAGGGCTAGACTTGAACTCTTTCCCATCCCCTGCTTCAGCCAGAGTGCTGGGATTACAGATGCATAGCATCACACCCAGCCTCTTAATGTTTTCTTTTCCAAAACAAGTTTAACTGTGATTAAAAGTCAGTAATATGGTGACTAAATACAGTGTAGGATCCTGAAACAAACAAATGAAAAAGACGTTAGCAGAAAAAGTGGTAAAACCTGAAGAGAATGTGTGGTTTACTTAATGGTATTATGCAGTGTTGATGCCTTAGTTTTGACAAATGTCAGACTGGGTGAAGGCACGTGGGAACTCTCTCTGCCATCATTACAAGTCTTCTATAAATATGAAATCATTCCAAAAGAAAAAAATTAGCTGGGCATGGTGGCGCGTGCCTTTAATCCCAGCACCTGGAAGGCAGAGGCAGGCAGATCTCTGAGATCAAAGCACAACAGGGAGACCATGTCTCAAAAAATAAAGAAAAAAAAAAATGACAAAATCAGTGACAATAATGAGGCAAAAACTCAAAATCAGGTTGTGTGGTAGGAACATCTGGTTACTTTGAATACAGCAGAGACGTTACAACTTGTTGAGCCAGGCCCTCCCACCTCAGTCTCAGCCCTCCGCCTGTCCCTCCCTTCCTCTCTTTCTTTCCTTCCTTCCTTCCTTCCTTCCTTCCTTCCTTCCTTCCTTCCTTCCTTCCTTCCTTCCTTCCTGCTTTCTATGATGTGTATGGTTATGTGTGATGTATGTGTATGATGTGTGTGTAAATAAGGACATGTGCATGCCACAGCGTGATAGTCCGCTGGGGAAGCTGTGGGTCACTTGAGACAAGGGGCCCTCTCATAGTTCAAACAGTGTAGCTCCTTGAGAAGTGAAATCAAAGACAGGGTCTGTGTTCAAAATCTATTCTGAGGAGCCTTGAAGCCCAGCTTGCAGATCTCTCCCCCAGGGCAGGCCCAGGCTGAAGCCCCATCCGAGAGGGACAGCTTTGCCCCACAAGTGGATTGACATCCTACTTCTCCCCACAGGAGCTCAACCGCACCTGCCGTGCTATGCAGCAGCGGGTCCTAGAGCTCATCCCACGAATTTCCAATGAACAGCTGACAGAGGAGCTACTCATGGTCAACGACAACCTCAACAATGTGTTTCTGCGCCATGAACGGTAGGTAGCCATACTGTCTCCTGAGCCCTATCCCTGGTCTTCTCTGTAGTCACTTTCCCTCCTGTCTTCCTCAGACACCAAGGCTACCAAGGGCATATGCCTTCTACTCCTGTGCCCATCACAGAGCTGCTCAGGTAGCTGGGAGTCATGAAACCAGGCCTGCAAAGCATACTGCATATCTGGGGAACAGTGCTGATTATCCCAGCCACCTCCTGCTCCTTGTGCCTCTTTCCTGTCTTTCCCCAGTTGCTGAGTGGTTTGCAGTCAGTTAAGAGGGGCTAGGGCCCTGTGGGTCATGTCTGGCTAGCCTCTCCTGTTCATTGGCCCAGTAAATAGAAGCCACGGTCCCTTCCCGCCATCTCAGAGTGAGCTGTGTAATAGTCCCCCCAACACCCAGGTATCAGGCCTCCCAACTTACCAGTATGTTCCAGTCAGTTGCCAGCCGCTGCTGCTCAGTGTCTTCACTCAGTTATTACAGAGCTGGCAAGCAGGTGCCCACAGATGGTAGACCAGAAGATGAGTTCAGATGTGATATCCTTTACTCCAGGCCATAGCACCAGCAGGCCAGGCTGAGGTCCTTCCCATCTGCCTTCCCAGCTCCTTTGTCCTTAAGTGGTCAGAGTCAGGGTCTGGGACATACTGTTTCCTCTGCCACCTTGGAGAGCCACCCACACATCCCCAGGTGTAGAAGTTGGTAGCTAAGACAGTTAATCTTAAGACCTGTGGTTTGAAACACTCTCCTGGGGCTGTCCTGGGGGACTATGTCAGTCTGTCCCTTTGACTGGGGTCTTTTCTGTCTTGTAGGTTTGAACGGTTCCGAACAGGACAGACTGCCAGGGTAAGAGGCGGGTCTTCTGAGACTAGATAGTGTAACGTTGATGGAAAGCAGGAAGGCAGTTCTCACCTTCCCTAATGCCCTGCACAGGGTGGTGGTGCTTTGCAGGGTCACTGGGCAGTCTCCTAATTTTTTATACCACTGCCCCTTTAAGGGAAATAACACTCTGCCACTAGCTGGTACCTTAGGGCCTTCCCAGTTTCCAATGGATACAGCCCAGCAGGAGCCCAGGTGGAAGGGAAGAAACTCCCCAGCTCCCAGTCAGAACTGCTGGGGCCTGGAGGCAGGCTGCTGCAGGCAGGAAGGATGATCCAGGCTTCTCCCTTCACCTCAGGCTCCCAGTGAAGCTGAGCCAGCCGCTGACCTGATTGACATGGGCCCTGAGCCTGCAGCCACTAACAACCTCTCGTCCCAGCTGGCAGGAATGAGTGAGTATGGCCGGGACCACAGCCCAGGGTATGTTATGGTACTCAGGAAGCCCCAGAGTTCCGGGGTGCCTTCCTGTTACTCTCCAACAGCAGAACGTTGGCCCAGACTCCATCTTGCTGGGGTCCCAAGCCAAGTCTTGCTGCCAGGTCGTGCACTCAGAGCAGAGCACATGGGACTGCCTTCGAGCCCTAGGCCTCCTGAACCTGTGTATCACAGAAATCCCATTGTTCCGTGACAGCCCTCTTTGCTGCTTGGCCATGGCTTCTGGGAAAGTTTGGAGAAGTTACATTTGCTATGCCTGTCTTTGCTTCTCAGTGACCCTTAGGAGCAGGCCCTCCTCACAGGTTGGGTGACAGAGCAAGCTATTACCAGAATGGCTCTGATCAGCACTGGGCAGAAGGTGCTTTGCTTTTGCTTTAATAGCAATAGGGATGGAGCCCAGAGCCTGGCACACACAAGCTACACTCCCAGGCCATTTGTTGGTTTGTTTTGGCTTTTTGAAGTGGGGAGGATAGATTGGGTTTGGTCCTCCTGTTGCAGTCTCCCAAATGCTAGGATTACAGGTTAGTGCACCTTGATAAATGTTGGCAGTTGGCATCTTTATGTTTTTGCTGTTGGGTTTTTTCTTGTGTTTTGTTTATGTTGTTGTTTGGTGTTTCATTTTGTTTTTTGCCATGCTGAGGATTAAACCTAAGACCACGAGTATGCCAAGTAAGCACACCATCACTGAACTACACTCCCGGCCCTTTAATTTGAGATAGGGTTTCAATAAGTTGCCCATGCTGGTTTTGAACTTGCGTGTAATGCAGGCTAGCCTCAGCTTCCCCAGTAGCTGGGATTACAGGCTTGTACCACCAGGACTGCTTCGGATTGAGTTTAATTTTATCGACCACTCTGTGCCAAGCCCCAGAAATCCATTCAGCTCACACTGAATTACTGACACTACACTTTGAAAAGTCAGATCTGCTCCGTTCTGCCAGTCAGGAGGAATAGGTTGCATTTCCTTGTTCTCTAATCCTCAGCACAACTGGGGACAGGGTGATTATTAGGCCACCACCTTAGAGATAGCGCATAAACAAGAGAAGAAGCCGCTTCCACTGCCCCACAGACATCTCCTGCTGCCCACCCAGCTCCTTCTACCCACCATCCAAACCCTGCTACTCATCTAGCACCAAGCCCTGGGCCCAGCAGGGAGGCATAGAGCTGGTGGACCCCTCACATGGCCTTTCTGTCTCTGCAGACCTGGGCTCCAACAGTGTGAAAGCTGGCCTACAGTCTCTGGAGACCTCAGGCCGCCTGGAAGATGACTTTGACATGTTTGCTCTAACTCGGGGCAGCTCGCTGGCTGACCAACGCAAAGAGTAAGTCGTCACCTGCTCCACTCTGGTATATAGATGGGAGCTCGGGGTTGGGGGAGAGCCTCTCTCAGGATTCCTGAATCTGGATTTGGGTAGGGCACACAGGAGGAAAGGTACACAGTTCATTATGTCCTGGAGAGCCCTGTGGTCCAGGAATAGGCAGAGTTGAGCAGGGAAACATGTCTGCATCTGACCAGAATTAGAATCAAAGATCTAAGAGTCTGGTCATAAGACCCTAGGGCCAGGCAGCAGTAAGTTGGGAGCCCCTGGCACCTGTCCAAAACAGTGTGTCCAGCCAGCCCACCACCCTGAGTACTGTACAACTTGTACCAAGCCCCCAGGAGCAAGGTAGGCCTAACAAAGCCTTTGGGACTTCCAGGAGGTATCTGTTGTTCCATAGTCACCCTTCATCTCCAGAGGAGACTCTGGCCCCACTTAAGTATACCACTTTGTACACAAGGTGGGGCTTCCCTTCCCTGTGATCTGTCCATGTTCAGGGGCATGCTGTCAGCAGTCAGAACCTGTGAAGGCCCCACCCTTGCTTTGACTGACTCTACTGGCTCCACACAGGCTTATCAGGGGAAACATTTTGGTTGATGTTTTCTTCATCCCTTTGCCTATGACCTGAGCTGTGGGCAGCCAGGGTTCTTACAGCCAAGGAAAGTTCTATATAAAAGTAGCCCCCTAGCTAGTCTTACTTGGCTCTTTAGTGACTTTTCCAGTCTTTGGGAACTCTGTCATTGGCCAATAGACAGCTAGGGATTCCCTGCCCACCCCTGTAGCTCCAGGTGCCTGTAGTCCATACCTGAGCTGTGACCAGCTTTATCTTTACCCTGAGCGGTCTATGCTCCCAAGCCCAGGGGCTCTGGAATCAGCAGCTCACAATCACTGTGCAGTTAGGGACACTCTTGGGGCTTCTGTGCACAAGGAAGCGAAGGAGTCTAGTGGGACCTGCAGTTAGGAGGCCTGTCCACACAGGCCCCAGAGAGCAGCATGACTAGCCACACTGTAGAGTGCCTGGCCCCAGACCTGGCCTGCCAGCCTGCTCCACTGTCCCTCCACAGGGAAGATACATGGCCAGCTTGGCTGGAGGGGCAGGAAGCTCTTCAGAGGCCTTAGAACCTGGAGGATGGGGATTAGGAAGCATTTAAGTCCTAGGAAGAGCATGTACAGGTTCAGCGGCAGGATAGAGAGCTGTGCTCTGATCCCCGCAGGGAAGCAAGTGCTAAAACAGCCACACAAAGCCTTCTTCCTCACGTTGGCAGTAGGGAGTAGGGGGCAGGGGAAGGATTGCACAGCAGATTTGCCTCTCTGAAGCTCCCTTTGACCTCACAGCTGAGATAGTATCCAGCACCCTCTCAGGCCTCCCATGAACCTCCTGGGCATTGGTACCCACCACAGAAGAAGCACCTGCAGGGACAGGCCTGGGCTCTAACTCCTCTTCCTTTGTTCTCCCTGGCTAGTCCACCCTCATGCTTATGGTGGTCCCTCTAACACTGGTCACCTGACTGGCCTTTTCTACTCAGGTGGTGTCTGGCCCACACTTCTTGTCCTCTTCAGCCTCCCCATGCACTACAGCCCACAGTTGACTCTGCCTGGGCCCACAAGGAAGCCAGCCTCTTGCTGCCTCCCTGCTTCCACTCTAGCTGATATCGTCACAGCCTCCGTGACCAGGCCCTTCCTCTCCAGGTGTTCAGGAAGACAGTGGGGACCTGGGCATGCTGTGTCAGGTCACCTGGTCCAGCACACGCCTCCTTTCCATCCTCTCCCAGCATCCTGAGGAGCAGCTCTTCCTCCTCCTCCATGCTGCTCTACACAGCAGCCTCTCCTCCAAGACAGGTGTTGACCCAAGTGCCCACAGGTCCAGCCCCTGCCCAGCAACCTCATAGGAAGCACCCAGGGTTTGCAGCCCCTTCTTCCAGAGAAGCACCCTGGTCTTTGGGGTTAGCTGAGCTTCAGCTTCAGGACAGGGAATCGGGGAGAGGTGGGCAGGAGTAATTAGGAAAACAGGTTATTGTTTTTGTTTTTTGAGACAGGGTCTTACGTAGTCCAAGCTGGCCTGGAACTTGCTATGTAGATGAGGATGATGATCTTGAACTTCCAGTCCTCTTGCCTCCACCTCCTAAGTGTGGGGATTACATGTGTCACCACGCCTGGTTTATTATGTGTATTCTTATGAGGTTCAGTGGTTCTGAGTGATCTGGACTGGGCATGCTATCTCTTACCTTGTCCAAATGTTCCTGGCAAGAGAGAGCAGTGCAGCTCCTTGCATGCCCTGCATCAGGCCTTCCAGGGCAAGATACCTTGTGAGTCTGGCATCCTTTCCTCACCAGCTCTCCTGGCCTAGTCTTGGCTAGGAATCCTGAGCCCCACTGTGGTTTAAAGTGCCTCTAGCATGGTCCTGCAGATTGTCACCAGCCTGCTGCTCATGTGATCAGGGGCCGGGTGGCCAGGGGAATGACCGGTTACAGACAGCTGGGTCTCCTGGGAAAGGAGTGGCAGCAGTGTCCCTGGAATGGGACACTGGGGTTCTTAATCAAAGGGCCTTTTTTAATGACAGTCTACCCTGTTCCCTGGAAAGGACATCAGCATCACACAAGTTCACTGCATTAAGTTCCCCATCCCTGAAGTCCCCAGCTTTCCAGAGTGACAGGTTCCTCCCCAAGGGGAAGACCCACCTTGAGTATGCCTGGCTTCCCTTCAGGATAGGAACCTTGTGGCTGCCTTCCATACCTCCAGGCTCAACTGACCAAGACTGAGGTCTAGCTTCCTCTAAGACTGCTCAGTGAGAATAACAGGCTCTTGTCTGGCATCAGTCCTCCCTGACCCCAGACGTCTCCAACTCCAGCCTCCCTCCTAATCTAGGGTGACCTCTTACTCCCAAGGCTGCACTTCAGTGACACCACACACTCCTTCCCTGTCATCTGCCGGTAGGCAGGTGCTAGCCTCATCCCTCCCAACCCTGGCCTTCAGCCTGCCAGGCTGGTTGGCATCCTCTGGGGACAAGAGGTAAGCTGTAGCCAGGCCCTCAGGGAGGTAGAGGGCATCTTCCTGTTAAAGCCAGTGTCCAAGGGGCCCTCAGCAGCTTGCATACTCATTTTGGCAGCAGAAGGGACTCCCCCATTCAAATGCAGCCTTACCACAGTTGAAATTAGGAGTTAGGAACCACTCAAAAGGAACCTACAGAAAATTCTCCATGACCATGGGGTCACAAGCTGTTTCCCAGTCCCTCGGCTTGGTCAAATGGAGTCACCGTCATCGGGGATCCTGTTCCTGGCCTTTGGTCACATGCCCTGTCTAAATTCTCCACTGATTACTGATGCATGTCATGTGGGGCACATGTTATAATTGTTGATGTATGTCACAGGAGACACATGTCACACAGGGCACATGTCAGCCTGATTCCCAGAGGCAGAAAATGGGGCTTTTCTTCCCATCCCAGGCAGGCTTGAGGAGGAGCTTCGGGCCAGGCTGTCCTGTGACCTGAGCAATCCCTACCCAGGCCCACAGTCCACACAGGGTCCCCATCTACTTACCACATCCCTTTAATCCTCAGACTGCCTGGCAGGCCTGGTATGGCAAGGCAGCATCTGATGCTGTGCTGCTCTGTGTTTCAGGGTCAAATACGAAGCTCCCCAAGCCACAGATGGCCTGGTTGGAGCCCTGGATGCTCGACAGCAGAGCACTGGAGCGGTAAGACTTCCAGAGGGGAGGGAGGTTAGACTTAGCACACTGAGTACCCAGTACTGGCTGGGCACAGTTCTTTCCATTTGGCTCTCAGTTTGCCCTTTGTGACTGATGTGATTATTCTCAGTTGACCACCAGAGATGCTGGTGGGGAATTTTAGTCATTAGCCTACACTCACCAGGATTCGGACCCAAGCCTGCCACAGGAATTGGCCTCCAGTGGCCCTGGGTTCACATCCTGCTCCACCACCAGCCAGCTGCCAGTTGTCAAGCAAACTAAGCCTCCGGCCCTTTGTTTCTTCTTTACCTGGAACTTCTAACAACAGTAGTCGCATATAGTGGACTGTGAGGGAGGTAGCACTCTATCACTCTTCCTCCTCGATGCCTCTCCAGGTACCTTTCACTAGGAGCATGGGCAGAGGGGAGTAAAACGCAGACCCTAGAACAGCAGGCAGGATGCCTAGGCACTCTTTCAAGTCCGGTTAGTTGCTTGACTGTGTGCTGAGTGGCAACTGCATGCCCAGGACCAAGCACTCTGTGGTCTGAACTCCCTTGTAGCATGATGTCCAAGTACAATCCTTACATCTTTGCATGCACACCTGGCAGTATGAGAACTGCTGTTTCCTAAGTGAGCTGAACTAGTTGGAGGAGACAGCAACAGACAGCACACTATACCCAGGAGTTGAAAAGGAGCCCAAGAAGGGGGCCCCAGAGGAAGAGGGGTATGGCAGATGGACTTTGAGGGCAAATGAGCCTGAGGGGCGGGAGAAGAGATCTGAGGGGTAGCTGGGAGGACCATGGACTTCGTCTAGGTGAAGTAGAAGCCACTTAAATACCTTGAACCCAGAGGGTTCTTCATCTTACTTTCAGAAGGGAGGAAGACCATAGGAGGTCCAGCTCACATGGGTCAGGATTTGGTGACACCTAAGGACTCTCCATTTGCAGACACCCAGCTCCTTGGGGTCCCTTTCAAGTTAGAGCAAGACAGACACAGAATGCTGGCCAGGCAGGCTTCATGGAATCCAGGGCCTCCTTTGTATGCTGTGCCAGGGCCCTCCCACTAAGCAGAGCACACCTCTGTACTGGGCCTCAATGCCTCTGCACGCTTTTCTGCTAAGCCGTCACCTCTTGAGCCTTCTATCCGTGCCTGGCCCTGTGCTAAGCATTCACATGCCCTCTTGGGTGTTATCAATCAGCCAGCCCACTCTTGCTGCCACCCAGAGATGGAAGCATTTTCCCAGGGCAACCAGGACCGTGACCAGTATTCAGTCTCCAGGCTCCCATAGCACCTCACAGTAGCCCACAGTGGGAAGCTCATGTGCAGCTCTACTCCCTGACAAGACACAGGACAGTGTGGTCACCTCATTATCTGGGCATCCTGCTCGGGGATGTGATTTCTGAAGACTGAACCAACACCCACTCCCAAGGGCTCAAGTCTAGCTGAGGTAAGGCCATAGAGCACTAACCTTCTGGATGTGATTCAAGAGCAAAGTGCAAAACAGAGCTGAGCGCCTGCTGTGTAAGTAGCGGCGTTTGTCCAGGACTCAGCTGAACTCCCAAGTCCTTGATGTGCAGTGTTGTTCACCACAGGCCAGATGCCCTTCCTTCGCTCCCTGAGGTACAGTGCTGGGCCAGGTCCTAGCACTCTATGTAAGATGGACAGGGTATTCAGCAAGTGATGGGCTGGGAGCCAGGGCTGGAGCCCATCTACCACCCACCTGCTTTAGGGCCCAGAAAACGTCCTCTTTGCTGTCAGTAACTGTGAGGCCATTGGACAAAGCAGCATTTCTGAAGCCTGGGTGCCCATCAGAGAGAAGCCCTTGGGAGTCCCCAGTCTGGCCAATAGCTCTCCAGCCCTGGATTGTGCAGGCTACCCTTTGGGATCTCATGAGAAGGGCAAAGAGTTTGGTTTAATTTGCTCACTACATTGTCCCAGCCTGGCATCTCTGTTCTCCTGGACCATTGCGGTTTCCAGTAATGAGGCACCTTGGTCTCCTTCCTTCATCCCCTTGACCTTGCTGCATACCTCTTCCTATACACATACACACACAGCCACACATGCCTATGTACACAATGGAGTGTCCTGGTGGAGAAGGCTGCCAGCCCACTACTGGCCCTGGCCTCAGCCCTGCTGTGCACCACCACAGTGAGGCTCTCCCCAAGGTGAGGTGGTATGTGAAGAAGCTCGTGGTCGGGCAAGGCATATGAGCAGGGGCTAGGCCACAGTAGTGATACTAGGGAGCAGAACCCAAGGCGGTCCCAAGGAGAGGAGAGCCAAGGCTAAAACCCAAGCACTTCCTCCTCCAGCAGTTAGTAGAACAGGCCTGGCCTACCAGAGCCCCTGCCTTGTCGCTCGGCTGGGTGACAGGCTCAGACACTAAACTGGCTTGGTGGGAGACACTCTCCTTTCCAAAAACTGCCAAACAGGAGCCTAGAGTTCCTAGCCTTGCTGCATATGGGCTCTCTGTGGGCCTTACCTCATCCTCACAGTGCTCTGGGTGGTAATCCTGTCATTAGGAGAGAAAGGTGGGGTGCAGGGGCCTTCCGTCACACTCCACAGCCAAGGCAGACCACGTCTGTGCTCATGATGTCCAACAGGATCTCCCTCACAGAAGCCATTAGAGAGGAAGCCCCTGTTGGGAGCCATCAGTGCAGAGCCCATGTGTTTGGGCCCACAGTGAATGTCCCATTAGAAGGCTGCCCGTGAGACCTCCAGCCTGGCCTTTCTGGAACACTTGGTACCTGACTCCAGGACCTTTTGTGTCCCCATCTGTCATGAACAGAATCTGCCAAAGTGGTAGGAGACAGAGCCTCCTGGGCTTTGCTCTGAGCACCTGTGGCCAGGGTTGTCCCTGTCTGGGCCATTGCACAAAGCCCCCCTTCAGTGTGGAACCCCTCCCGCCCCCGAGTGTGTCAGAACAGGGCCCATTCTCTCCATGTAGGGAAGGGCTCCCGTCGACCCCTGGCCCTGCTCCAGCAGCTGGGAGCACATCCCCTCTGTATTCTCATGGCTCCACATCCCTTACCCACAGCTTGGCACCACTGGTGGGGTGGTCAGGCAGCCGGAGGAAGGAACCCCAGGGTCTTCACTCCAGTAGGAGACAAAGGAAGCTCAAAGCAGGGTGGGCAGGTGACTGCCAAGGACTACCCAGCTCTCGCCTTGTCAGCTGGGGCACTGCCCTTGCCTGCCTCACTGCTGCCTTCCTTCCAGATCCCCGCCACCCAGGCCCGATTCATGGAGGACATTGAGCAGTGGCTGTCCACGGATGTGGTAAGTTGGGGCTCATCCCCCCCCACACATAGCAGGGATCCCATTTGTCTTGCAGAGTTGTACAGTCTCCCAAGAAGAGCCTGGTATATGGCTGGTAGGAAAGGCAAATATTAATGTCCCCATCTCTGGCCACCCAACCTCCTCTCGAAAACACAGCACCCACTGAGCTGCATCCCAGATCACACTACCTGTGTGAGGTCCCTCTGGGTGTCTGCCGCCAGAGGGGAGACAGCATTGGTTAGTGAGATACTGTATCCCCCCAATACACCCTGGAGACTAGCAGCCACTCAGAGGGAGGTACTATCATCACCCCATTTCATATCAAAAGAGGTAGCTAACTACAAGGGGGCCCAGGCCACAGCCTCCTGTTTCTAAATGGACATGCCCAGGAGACAAGGAACCCCAAGCCAGGCCTCTAAGCCCCTAGCCCTGCTATACCTAGAGAGGAGAAACAGCAGGAGTCAGATTATTAGTTCTGGCATCCCAGGCTCCTCCCCCAGCTTCTGCCATCTCTTTGGTGGACACCAAAGACCCAGTGAGAGGTTGTGTACTTCTGGGTCCAAAGGCTGCCATCTGTACATGGCAAGACCACACTGGCTTCACATTCTGTGCTTGGCTTCCAGCACCCACCAAGTTAGCCTCAACTTCCCTGTTTCAAAGGAGAGAAAAGTCAAGGCTCAGAGAATTTGGAACACCTGGGGCCCTGCAGCTCAGGAAGGGATGAGCGAAGGCTCGAGTCCTGACCACAAGGGCTGTCCTACCCCGCCATGCAGACATGCCGTCCGTGCTCTCAGCAGTGCTAACCTCTGTCCCTTCCCTCTGCATCTTCAGGGGAGCAATGCTGATGAGCCCTCGGGTGTCACCAGTGAAGGTAATGGCCCCGCCCACTCGTGCCCCTCCCCTGAAGGTGACAGTCTTGACCTGCCCACTGCCCCTCCTCTGGCTCTAGCCTCCAAGCCCACTCTTCCTCTCTCCTGCTAGAATTTGACAAGTTCCTGGAAGAACGGGCCAAAGCTGCCGATCGATTGCCCAACCTGGCCAGCCCCTCAACCGAGGGACCCCCGGGACTCTCTCCTGGCACAGCTCCTCGGAGGAAGACCCAGGAAAAGGATGATGACATGCTGTTTGCCTTATAAGTGCAGGGTCTGGCACCCTGTAGCCCAGGGCCCCATGTTCCCACAACCCCTGGGGCCCCTCCCTCCCTTGGTGTTAAGGCTGCTTGGGAGTGCTCATTACCCCCTTCTCTCCTCCTGGGAGGCAGCAGGATGAATTGAGAGAGTAGGTCATCTCTCCACTGGGGACCTGACCATTCCTGCCTCTCTCTCCATCCTGCTAACCACCATGACTCAGCTGAGACCTGGGGTCCCCAGACAGCTGAGCTGATGTGACCTGGTTGACCTAGTATGATTCTTCTGGACCCTTCCCAGAGGAGCCCCTCAGAACCCACATTGCCAGGTTAGGTGAAAGGGGACATTGCCCATCCTCTGCCTCTGCAGAGTTGGGCCTGAAGGCTTTGGCTAGCTGTCAGGGTAGGCTGTGATGGTCCCTGCTGAGCTGCCCACTGTCGAGGTACGAAGCTGCACCCAGTTAGGTAAAACCTCACAAGCCAAGATGAGACCTCGGGGTTCCAGGCACCTGGAGCCCCACAGTCCTTCCACTGCCTTTCCCCCATCCTGGCTCTATTCCTCTGCCAGGGCTCTACCACATGGGGCTCACCTGTTGATCGATCCTCTGGTACAGGGAGAGGTGCCTTTTGTATCCCCAAATAAAAGCAGAAAACTCTGTCAGCATGTTCTTCTGGTGGGACGCACCCTGGCCTCATGAGGGCAGGTCCTGCTTTGAGCTGGAGGCCATCTGAGAGGCGATAACTGCAGATGGTGCTTACAGAGCCATACCCACAGGTATAGCCCCACCCCCACCCCATCACCACACAGATCCAGCCTCCATCTGCTCTGCATATGAGAGATGCCCCTGCCTCTTTGGGCTCCCTCACACTACCATCCTCTCCACCTGGCTTCTACCCACCCTGTCACAGTGGCATGTTGCTCAAGAGAGGAAGCCTAGTGTTGGTAGACAGTGTTGACCTGTTGGGGCAGCAGGCCAAGAGAGGGTGAATGTGTCAGCCATGGCCCAGGTACTGGGCACTGTCAGAGCTGCATGCTGGCACTAAACCTCTGAACTGCCTTGGCACACAATACCAGGCACTGGGCCATGCAGGGCAGGTGTAGGGCACCCAGGTCTGGAGGTGCCGCCTTCATGGGTGTGCACCCTGCACAGCAGGGCCCCCAAGAGGCCTTGCTCTGGGTGGCACAACCCAGCCCTCAGCAGCAGGAAGGTAGAAGGATAGAGCTGCTGTCACCCCCAAAGTCAGAAAGCAGTAGTCAGTATACTGGCATGTGGTGCCCTGAGACCTGGCCCAGCCCTCTAGGGGGCAGTTGGGTGAAGGAAGCAGATGGAGAGCAGGCACCATGGGCCCTGGATGTTCCATCCCCAAGCAGGTAAGGGGCTGAGTGCCACCACAGGATGGCACATGCCAGGTCAAGCCCATCCACGCCCTGGCTTCGCCCCACAGTGGCCATGACTTATCATGGAGGGGTGGAACCCCAGCAACTCTCCCTGTGCCCTCCCATGTCCTACCTACCCCCTGCCTGCTTCTCCACTCTCTCCTTATCTGGGGCCTTTAGGGGAACTGGGACTTTGTGAGGATCAAAGCCCAGGCTGCAGCTTGCCAGTGTCAGCTAGGAAGCCCAGGAAACTTTCCACAGCTTGCTCCCAGGGGTCCAGGGCTATGCCAGTGACTGCAGCTACTAGGGTTTGGAGTTGCCTGAGCACCAGTTGCACACCAGCTGCGGTAGTTTGTGCTGGGGGTACAGATGGGAATAGACAAATGCGCCTGACTGAGGACTTGTGGGAGGGAAGGGGCAATAAAGACTGGCAACTCATTAGCTTCCTGCAGTAAGATAAAGAAGGGCCACCACTGGGAGGTCAGTGACGTGGAGCATCTGTGAGGAAGCCAACACTGAAGGGAGATTGGCAGCTGGGATGCAGACAAGAACTCTCCCACGGCATCCCTGGACTGCCACTGAGGCAACATGGGGCTACGGGCTTCCGTTCTCAGGCTGCCAGAGTAGGTGAGGAAGCCACGTGCAACCTGCCATCCCATTCGGTCAGTTGACAGAGCATTGTTGCTCCAGTTCCTCAGCGCAGCCTCCAGTGTTGGGTTCCCAGCTCCAGTGTCTCCATCCTGGACGACTGCTGGCGACCAGGACAGCACAAGTCTCCCCGGCTGGGGCTGCTGCTTGTAAGGATGTTCACAGCTGACTCCATCCAGGAAATAGAAGTGAGGCAGAGACTAGCCATGGGTCCTGGTTTCAGGTCTGCTGCCCAGGCCAACACTTCAGGGAGCCCCTGCCCTCCCCAGGGTAGCTGGAGGTCTGTCCTTTGCCATGTGGGTCTGGTCTAGGTTCAGGGCCAATCAGTGTCCCGTGGTGACCACAAGGTGGCAGTGCTGCATGCTCTCCTGAGCTCTATGCCGCTGCCCCGCCCGCCAGCCGCTGTCTGAGCTGGAGTCTGAAGGATCTGATTCGAGGCCCCTCAAAAACAGCTTGGTGGCACATGCCTTTAACCCTAGCATTTGGGGAGGCAGAGGCCGTTGGATTGTTGTGAGTTCAAGGCAAGCCAGGACTATGTAGTGAGTCCTATCACAAAATATAGCAAAAAATAAAACTAGGAACTTGAAGCTTCAGGCCTGATATCTCCTGGCTCTCAGACTCTGAGGATGACACTGAGGCCTACAACAGGCTGAGAGGCTACATGAATGGGCGGTGCCTGTCCCCCGTGCTCCTTGCAGAGCCCAGTTTATGCACTAGTGGGCCCCACTCCTCTGTTCCTAATACACAGCTGCTGCTGTTTCTGTGCCTAGAACAACAGGAGTGACCCTGGTGCCTGATACAGCCCAGCACTCGGCTCCCAGTTCCCAGCTCCATCACTCCCTTCTCTGGTAGTGAGAAATAGCTCCATTGTGCATTTTATTTTATTTTATTTTTAATTTTTATCAGTCTCAACTATATAGCCCAGGCTATGTGAGCTCCCTGTCCTTCCTCACCCTCCCAAGTGCTGGGATTTCAGGTGTGTATGCCTAGGCCTGGTTTGACCTATCCTTTAATGCTCCTTGCTCAGTCCCCATCATCACCAATCTATTGCTGATACCCTCCAGGCCATCCTCCCCTGGACCCCACTTGCCCTGTCCCAACACCACTCCTCCTCAACTCGGTCTGTTGTGCACCCTCCGGGCTGCTGCAAGTCCCCTCACTATCAGAACTTGGGGACAGGAGGGGAAGACAGAGAAGACAAGGTTCACTGTAGGCAGATGGTCAGATGAGTGACATCCACATCCTACTTCTCCACAAACTACAGATCTGGTCAGTTCTGAGATTTGGCCTGTCCAGACAGCCTGCCCACCTGCCTCAGAAAGTGCCACAAAGATCCTTATCAGCGTGTTAGGCTGCAAGAGTTCTACAGTAAAAGGCCATACCTGGCAGCAGACATTTGCTCTCCACACTCTGGAGGCTGGAAGTATGAGATCAAGTGTGGCAGAGCTGCCGCTTCTCTCCTCAGTTTGAAGACAGCTGTCATCACCCTGTGTCATCACATGGTCACCCCACATACTGACATCCTGATCCCCTCCTCTTAGACATCAGTTATATTGGATTAGGCTGTATCTAATGACTTCATTGTGCCTTAGTCACCCCTTTAGAGTTGCTGTCACCATATACAGTCACATTGTGACATCATGAGGGCTTCAGCATATGCATTTAGAGCAACGCATCTCGCCCCTGGCAGTCACACACACTGGTTCATTCCTTCCAGGCCCTGGCCTCCCAGACACACACACTCTGCTCCACAGGAGCCACAGGTCTGTATAGAGCACCAGCATGTAACATCTGCCTCCCATCCCCTGCCCTCATGGAGGTTTGTGGTGACTGGTAGATCATGGTTAGCCGAGTTCCACAGCCAAGGGAACCCATCAAAGACAAGCCATGAAACAGGAGCAGAACAGGAACAGGAAGGGAGAGGATCAGGTGCAGGGAACCTGGCTGGGGGCTTTCCCCTGTTTCCCAGGGCTGCCCACCCTATTTAAAAGAGAAGCCCCTGGGGCCTGGAGACATAGCTCAGCCCTTAAGAGCAACGGACCCAGGTTCAGTTTCCAGCACCCATATGGAAGCTTACAAGTCTGTAATTCCAGTTCTAGGGGATCTTCTGACCTCCCTGGGCATTGTACACGCGGGTGCACTTACATGCATGTCAACGTTCATACTCGTAGAACAGCCTCTGGTAGGCAGTAGGCAGCAGGCACACCAGTGCTCCTTATCTGAAGCCCCATTCTCCCCTCCTCACAGCCCATGGCTGCTCCCTGCCCCTGTGAGAAGCCACTTGACATACCAATCCCCACAGTCTCTGGCAGCTCCATACTGACTGTACACCTGGGGCTTGGCCAACTCACCCTTGGACACTTAGACATCTCAAGGCCACTGAAATGTGTACAGATGGGGAAACAGGCCTGGGGCGGGGGAGGAAGGCAGGCCTTCAACTGAACAACCTCCCTGACCAGTGCAAGGTCCTTAGAGGGAACATTAAGATTAACATACCAGAAAACACCAGCTGAAAAAGACCAAAAGTCCTTCCCCACTTTGACTTCATATAACCAAACTAGCTCTGGCTAGTTTGCTGAGAAGACTGAAAATCGTTTTGGAGCCCATGCTTCTCACTCACTCTCAGGAATGTTTGTCCTTTCTTAAGAAACTTTATTTTCTAACCATGTGTTATTACTCCTGAGGCACAAGAACCTGAAATCAGGTGCTGCTTGAACTCAGATTCCCACCTACAACTGTCTCAACCTGGCCTGGAAAGGAGGCATCTCCTATCCAGCCTGTGAGCGCCAGATGGGCAGTGCAAGGCCAGAGCATGGGGCTCTGAGGACTCACTCTTTGCAAGCAAGGTGCTGTGTAGTTGGAACACTACTTGGTTTTTGTTTTATTGCTGTTTTTTTGTTATTTTGTTTTGTGAGATAGGGTCTCCCTGTAGCCCTAGCTGGTCTGGAATTTGCTATGTAGACCAGGCTGGCCTCAATCTCACAGAGATCCCAGTGCCTTTGCCTCCCGAGTGCTGGGATTAAAAATATAGCTGCCCCACCACGCCCAGCTTTGGAGTACTACTTGGGGGGTAAGCAAGCCTAGCTTCTGGCCTATACTGCCACTGTGATTTGAGCCAAGCCCTTCCTCTCTGGGCCTCAATTTCCCCATTTGTTAAACTGGGAAATAAAGTGCTCACTCCTGCTCTGCTCTTCTGCCCAATCTGCCTTCAAATTCCACTCTTCCCTTCCAGGAGAGAATAAAAGACAGCTGGGTATGAAAGCCGGCAACCCCATATTCAGGAGGCTAAGGCAGGAGGATTGCTGAGTTCAAGGTCAGCCTAGGTTATTCTAAGTTCCAGGCCAGCCAGAGCTTCAGACCGAGATCCTGGAGGAGGAGGAGGAGGAGGAAGAAGAAGAGGGAGGGGGAGGGGGAGGGGGAGAGGGAGAGGCAATGCAAGGAAAGAAGCTGAGCCCTCCACAAAGATGGGGATGCAGCGTACACAGTTGGCCTAGCACCTCCACCCAATACCATCCCCCTCCCAGACCAGCAATGGGAGAAAGCACCTGCCTTCAGGTTGGGTAGACAGGCAGAGGGGAAGAGCCAGCAGGTCTCAGAGGGAAGCAAAACCCATGCTGGGCACATGCTTGCCCCCT